AGCTGTCACTAATTACAACTATCATTTACCAAAAATCAGCTATCACTATGAACCACTACTAACCAGATTTACTTGGAGGCCGTCGTCAGTTGTGGTGTATGGTCTGCACCCGACGCTCTTCTCGTTTTTTGAAAGGGAGGGTAGGATGCGTGGCGCATCCCAAAAGAGATAGATCAACGCGAATGCTTATCTTTTGAAATTATCCTTGTGAAGTTATCTGTTTCGTCTCTTACTCATGGCTAACGTACCACTCATTTCTAGTATGACCTCTTTTTATGTAGATCATGGCTCACGTGATCAATTTGGAGGCGCGAAGTTTAAAGTCCTGCGGGCGTTTTGGGGAATTTGGCGCGTGTGATTCGCCCAACGGGGCTTATCCTAATCCTTACCTTCTTGTTGCCAAATCCATCGTATGCTGAATTCAGAACCTCTTTTTCATCGGCAAAATTCCTTTGGGCATGTTTTACTCGTGAAAAGCAAACCCTGCACGGGGACGGTAGCCCTGGTTACTTCTCTTATTCCAAAATAGCGCCCATGAGAGGCGCTCTAGTAGGTTACGTGATTACTTCAGTTTTCCTCCATGTTCACTGACGCCATTATAGGTTTGCTGGAGTGAAACTCCTGCATTTTTTGTTCTCTATAACCGCCTCTACTTAAGTTTTTCGGTTCTTCCTCATTTCCATTTAGTACATTTACTATATGCGCCACTTTGCCTGATTGATGGCGTGCTTTTTTTTTGAAAAAACGACTACATTTCAGTTCATCATGTGGTCAGCGACTGAGGCTCTTGCAGGGCTTGTTCCTAATTGTATTTGTGGAGCTTCCTACGATCTTCGGTTCTGTGCACCACATTCACTTCCATGTGCTCATACTTTCTGTTTGATGTGCTTGAGTAAAGAAAAGCAGACAAAGAAGCGAAGGTTAGGAAACTGTTCTTTTTCTTGTTTCCAACTTCTTAGTCCTTTTGGGCTGACTTTGTGAGTTATTTTATTTTATCGATTAATTTTAGGTGTCCATCCTGTCGGAAAAAGTACTCCTCGTTTGTTTTGAACACTGCTCTTGCCGGTACGTCTCCTTTATTTCGCACACTAGCTGAGATATTCTCACTTACAAGGGAATGCTTTGGACTTCCCATGGAACTTTGAAAGATGACCTGGGTATATCGATAGAGTCTTGAACGCTGATTGCAAATAGGGACACTATAACTGCTACGTGAACTTTCTTTGAAAGTTATGAGCCTTCAAAGTTGGCAAGAAGCGGACGCCATTTCATCAGGACAGCTAAGCGCTGACGAGGCAGGGTGGCGGCGGCGCAGTGGTAGAGCTCTCGCTCTAAAGGCGGCTGGTGGGTTTGCTCCGCGCCCGAGTTTTGCACACTGTTTTTTGAATCCAGCAAGGGCGTATTCCATTTTTTTTCATTCATTCAAACAGGCGCCTTATCTGGGCGGGTAGTTCAAATGTTTGACGCGGGAGATCAAATGGACGTGGAGACATGTTATCGATTTGCATTCATTAATCATGCCTTTCTCCCCGCAAAGGTAGTTTTCCTTCTTTGCTGAATTCGGTTCACCCGAAGACAGCGTAGCTAATTGTTTAGAATTATTATCGTATTCCCTCGATTTCCCAGAATAAATAGTTTCTAGGTAAGCTATTCTACCTTCGGGACGTATATTACAAGCGTAAATGGGAGTGGCTTTCAAATATTAATGAAGTAGAAGACACAAATCCTGATAACAGCCCTTGCTGGATTCAAAAAACAGTGTGCAAAAACTTTGGCTCCGGCCGGGAGCAAACCCACGACCAGCCGCCTTTAGAGCGAGAGCTCTACCACTGCGCCGCCGCCACCCTGCCTCATCAGCGCTTAGCTGTCCTGATGAAATGGCGTCCGCTTCTTGCCAACTTTGAAGGCTCATAACTTTCAAAGAAAGTTCACGTAGCAGTTATAGTGTCCCTATTTGCAATCAGCGTTCAAGACTCTATCGATATACCCAGGTCATCTTTCAAAGTTCCATGGGAAGTCCAAAGCATTCCCTTGTAGTGACGCAGACGACACCTCATGTGATTAGCACATCGGCAGTTTAGTGGCAGTAGACTCTTCTGGACAGATAGGTGTAGAGGATCGCAAGTCATTTTTCTCTGAGCTCAGCAGAGGGAGCAAATTCATCCATTTTCTCGAATGCCAGTTCTTTTTTGGTGAAGACTGCCCAAAGTAGAATTTTAAATTTAACGATAATATAAAGTGTTGCTAGAAGTTTAGAAGCAGATATTTGTCGCTTAAGGAACAAATCGGAATGTACTTTGTTCCATATCCCCTCCAGAGATTTAGGCCGACCATTTTTGTATGTGCATGTATAAAGTCATTATCCCATGCAATATAAAGCTGCTTTCATCTGATTTTTTCATTCGCTGTAAGCAATCGAACAAAGCTGATGAGTTACAAATTATCCAAAGTAGTAAGACGTTGTACGCTCAACGCGAGAATCATGAACAAAGTCGGGACATGTGACGAATCGAATCTTCCGGTCCAGTAACGTCTATCGACGATGCATAATTGTTAGTCGTTGATATGAACAAACACATCGGCCGCTCACTTGTAGGTTTGAAGGCGTCTATTCAATGTCGCGTCTATTCCATATAGAGGATCAGATGCAGTTTTCCCAGAAAGTTAAGGTAATTCCGAGCCAGGGGAGTGCAGCCAGTCTAAGGGGTGGGTGTGGGCAGTCACTTGAAATGTGTGAAGAGCTGAATGCTCGATTTCACACTAGTTCCGGAAAAAACTGCATCATGATGCCCCTAACTGGAATAGACCCCTATTCTTTTTCCTATGAATTAGTGAACTTTTCTTTCCACTTGCTAGTCTTCTTCATTTTTAAGGATTGTCGTATATGCCTTGAATGTTGTGTTGGTCGTCATAATGGTCACGAGCTGACACCAGTGGCGTCGTCATCGTTTTCTTCGTATCCGCCACAACCTGCTGCCGTCTTCTACTCCCCGTAACAGTTTGCAGAGGCCTTTGCCGTGGAGATGTTTCCCGAGTAAGAAGCAGCAGAGCATGAATACAGGAAGCACACACAACCGATTCCTTCGGTAAGCTTAGATCTCATCTCTTCCTTTCATAAAATGAGCTATAAATCGAGTGGTTGATGAGGAATATTGCTTTTGAGTGCCCTCTCTCATTCTTTTACGATGTCGTAGGATTTTCTGGTGTAGTTGAGATATGAATACTTCTGAATATGATATTGACAATATAATAATTTCCTGAAACAGGCGATATTGCATCATTTATCTCATCTACCCCAAATGGTCTCAATATCATTTCAATGAAATGGTTTTGAGGCCATATTCAGAGGTTTTTCTGAAGACCTAGAACTACTGCGATCACATATCTGCAATCTGTTACCGCCCCCGCCTATTCAAAAAAAAGTTGCAGGCCCAAGACGGATCCTATGCATCCAAGAGTTCCAGCTGCACCTTCCATGATCGAGGAGGAGTTGGTATATGAAGCCAGAAGCCCCCTCTACTGTAAGTTATATATCCTCCTTTTCACATTGAATAGTTATTCTATAATTAATTCACTTACGCCCACCTTTGTTATTCCTATGGATCTTTTCAGATCAATTGAAGAAATCCGCTAGTAAGGATGTTTCCATTAGCGCCAGCATAGCCAAGCGTCTGTCAGGACTCGTGTTGAATAGCGATGGTGTGTGCGACTCAGTATCGAATCAAGAAGAGTCTCTATATCGCCAAAGATTGGTCAATTCGCCTGATAGTGGAGTGACATGTGGTGTGAGCTGCTCAGATCAAAAGGGTTAGTTGAACTTTATATCACGCAGTAAATCTTCGCGGTGCGATCGTTGTTTTGGTAAGAGGTGCGCCAATGGAATTATTTCAGATACATCTCTCTATCAGAGTATATCGCCTTACGCTGTCAGTATTCCAAGGAGGGCGGTTTCTTCACTGTTGCCGTTGGACAGACCCAAGTGAGTACCTCAGTTTTGAAGATATGTTTACTATCAGCGTTTATTTCTGGTTTTCTGATATGTGCCGCGGAATAGACTTTCATTCAGAATCGTAATCGTATCGGCCTTTCAAAACAATTTTACTTATGTAATGGCTACGGGGGGGGGTCGGCCGTCGTACTGTCTGCAGGTGTACAAGGGTCGATGAAATCCCCGACCTTGGCTCTGTACTGTGTGGAGTAGTGGCGAGTAAACGTCCGCGCGGGAGAGCATTACTGAACAGGCGGAAATCCTCGACGAGTCCTCGACCAATTTTCACCATGACTGTCAGTGTTTTGGTTCTCCAGACAGACTTGGTGGCTACTAGCCGCTTTCGGAGGGATGGAAGGGCCTGGTTGACCCAGGCAAGCTTTGATCCAGTGGCAGGGTGCAGCAAGCCCCTTCAGGAGGATGTGTCCCCAAATCTCTTCCTCTCTACTCCGGTCGATGACGCAGTCTCCATGGTCAGGAAAAGAATAAGTCTGGAGATGCAGTTTGGGACCCATCTGCGGTCGGGCGTGCAAGAGTAGTCCCCAGGATTTCGCCCATTTTGTTCTTTCAACACGACAGACAGTTGACTCACCTCCGCAAGACTCTATCCGCTTTCCGCGTCTTCAGGGTAGTCTAGGAACAAAAATCGCGTGAAGGTTTCGTAAAGCGCCCACGAGACATGCTTCCGTCGTATAAGTATCCTCGCCACTTGGAGTATGCTTGGAAACATGGTAGACATTGCTTTTTCTACACCAGTTTTCTGCTTTGATAGAGCGTTTCCCGTGTAGATGTTGATTTTGCGAAGCCCCTCCATCATTAGGTACCGGATATCTTAGTGTCGCTTTTCTGAGTTCAGGAAGTTTTGGGGCCGATTACTATGGAAAATCAATATCTCAGAAAGTCCTTTTTGCTCATTAATACTGCGAAATATGTTGCTTATTGTTTTCTATGGTTGGTTCACAATTTAACTTTTCCCCAATTTTTATATACTTTTTTGAAAAATTCCTGGTGTCCAGTGTGCAAATTCGGCATGTCTGTGTTACGCGACCAATGCTGAAATAGTTGGACACAACAGCTGACAACGTGCGGCCACAAACAGGCACTTGATTGTTGAAGGGAATGCTACCATTAAATGCTCATCAGTCTTCACAGCTCTTTTAAAGAGAGTGAAGTCTTTTGAAGCATAACGTTGCACCCGCAATCGTAGTCGGAGTAAGGGATGACCTAGGTAGTCGATGTCGATTGTGGCGATGCACACGACTCTTGTGGCTTAAAATGGATAGACATAGCTTAGCGCATACATTATACCGAAGCTCTAACGAAGTTGATTGCACCAAGAAATTCTAATAAATGTGCTCATCTGCTACTCACGTGTGCTCAAAAAGGGTGCGTTTTTGACCCTATGTGGCAAAAAAGACTCCGGGAAAAATTGTCCAGTTGAGCTGGTAAGTAATAACTTTTCCACCATACAGTGCAGACCCTACTCTAACTAACTGTATACTTCTTTTGTCCAGGCCTAACTTTTTAGCAAGTGATTAGAGGGATTTGTCAGGTGAAACACACGAAGGCCTACACTGCGTTTTTCGAACTAAAGAAATCCTAGGCCTTAATGCATACTGGATTTCTCCTCAATACTGTTCATGGCGGAAATGCTAATGAGTCATTGGTGATGATCATGCTGTTACTTCTTCATTCTGAATTTTTGAAAATATTGGTGGTCCGAACTCAGTGGTGAGAAAACGAGCACAACAATAAGATATCCGTGGACCTAATACGAAGCGTGCCCGCAAGGAGGTGCGTCTCCCTATTGAGCTGCGCAAGTGTGGTGTACACCTTACTCATTTTCCGCCTCTGGTACCTTTCTGGAATTGAATTCGAAAAATGGTGCCCGTCGTCAGCGCGCCTATTTCGCTATTTTGAGGATACGCCTCACGTAAGTATGGCGGACGGGCACAGCTATTTGTGGTCTTTGCTTTTGGCCAGTACTTATCCCCATACCTGGCTAACTCTTTCGTTGGCCTCGAGATGGGTAACTGTTGTGGGCAGTAGGAAGATATACAGGACAGACAAACCACGGACAGGAGGAAGGTCAGAGGGAGAGCCTGACAGATAGCGCTTCAGATGGTAGGAGAGAGACTAGGTGCTACTTAAGTGGGGCGCACGGCGGTCCACTTCGGCGGCGCGGCCAGTCTGCTCGCCTGGCATCTTCGGAAATCCGTGGGCCAGGGGGAGTGTAGCCAGTCTAGGGGGGTGGGGGGTGAGGGCAGTCACTTGACATGCGTGAAAAGCTGGAATGTTCGAGTTTACACTGTCTCGCTCGAGAGAGCCCAGGTGAGCAGACTGCCGCGCCGCCGCGCCCCCCCCCCCCAACTAAGTTAGCACCGGAATTCTTGTTTCCCACGCCTTACTCAAGCTCGTATGGGTGAAGAAAAAACATTGTATTGTTTTTTCTGCTGGCTTACGCATGCCATTGTGTACCTAAGCCCTAATCGCGTTCGTGCGCCATTACGATTATGAATTGAGGTCGAATACGTGACGCATCTCAACGGTGAATTTTCTGTCGGTTTTTCTGCCCAATTTAGTCCAAAACTGTAATATTTCCAGGAATTTAGGTCTTCACCAGTATGTCAACGTGTACCGCCGCTGTTCAAGTTAAAGATAGCTTTTTTCGGAAAAGCATCAGTTTTCCCAAGCCGCAAGTCCTAACTTGAATATCCTGAGCTTCAATGATTTTACTTGCCACAAGGATAGAGCTCCAGTGAATTTTTGTAAATTTCCGCAAAAGAGATTATGTCAAGTTTCTTGAGCGATTTTTACCTGAGATTTCGTGCGTTATATTGGTAGCCTTTCGGCTTACAACGACTCATTTGTGCATAGCGTGTGCTTCGAGACCAATATTAGGATTGCATGATTTGAAAACTTTTCTTCTTTTAAGGCACGAACCCTTATTATTATTAGTTTTTAATATTTTTGTTCTCATTGTTACTGCCGGTATTTGTTTTTTCTATACTGAATTGTTTGAATGTTTTGTTGAAGAAGAGCTAGCTTTAAAATTTGTAAATTGACGAAATATGTTGATAAAACTTATGAAAATGGAGTTGTTAATGTGAGTGTGAATGCCTGTCGAGACTACGGGCCAAGTTCTTGATGCTACATAAGTTTAAATGTATAATATTACATCTGATCTATTTGCCAAGAGCAGTGTTACGGTGAGTGAATTTTGAGTGGAAGGCAGTGCTGGATGGCATGCCAGTAACGATAATCGTGCTTGAGTCTTCGGACATGCTTTTTCTCACGCAAATTTTCGGATGGCTTTTATTACAATCAATTTTTTGGCGCTTTCACATTTTGTTTGAAGTCGCTGTTCGAGTACCAAAAGTGGATGTTCTACCAGCCGATGATTCACAGCTAGCTATTTCACGAGTGGAATGCCTTTCGACCAGCAATGTTGTGATTTGAGGTGCAGCCAGGTGTTTAACTATACGACCGATGTCATCTTAGTTAGACCAGAAGTTCCCTCGACAGCCTCTGGGCTCCTCTATTCGTGCTTATGCGAAGCATCCTTGGCTATGGGACCGTAACACCTTAGCTACAGTTCATATCTCGTTTCTGAGTAGGCTGGTAAAGCCGTGAAGGGTGTTATCAACCACAGCAGCCAATCAGATTGACACCACAATACCGAATTCTTCCACAGTCCTGTTGGCAGTCGGTTTCCACGATGAACTCCCTTATCACAATTTTTTTCCCATCCTTATTTTACAAACGAACACGTAGACCTACCGACGAGTAACTCGACACACAATTGTCGAAATACTAGTCGTTCGTATAATAGAGTGATATCTTATCGTTCAATTTGAGATAGCAGTCTGTGAGATGCTGGTGGTGTCTGTCAGTTGTTACCGGTATGATTCACGCAAATGTGGAGGAAACAGCGTTTGTTGAGCCAGACGTACGAATCACATCAATATTCCGTGTTCACCCCTTCACTTTCACCGAGGTATGGTTCAGAAGATTCCTGTGTACATTTTTAGACGCCTTTCTCATATCACTTCATTCAAAACTGTGGCTGTGTTCTCGCATATCTCCACAGAATTTTTA